CAGACTTGGAACAGCGGCCTGCCCCTGTTGAGTCGATGACCATTCCTCCCGAGCCGACTGAGCTTCGCGTCGGCCTGAGAGCGAAGATGGATGGGCTGCGTATTGCGGCGTAGGCGAAGCAGCATGAGCCTGTGAAGTGGCATAGGCCTGATATTGCTGTTGACTTGAATATGCCATCTGCTGCTGCTGTAAATGCTGCTGCGAATGTTGCTGAGGATGTTGCCCTGACTGTGAGTAGTGATGCACCTGATGAGACACGGGAGAGTTTGAGGCGCCCGCCTGATGCTGTGTTTGATACTGATGTCGTGAGTAGAACTCCCTGTTGTCGCCAGCTGCTGAAACTTGTTGTTCCATGCCTGAGCCCATACTCGGCCTGGCAACGTTCATGTGCTGGGGCTGTGGCGACTGAGCATGATAAGGCTTCAATGATGGGATGGCAGCCTGAGCGGCCGAAGGTGGATTGCGAGCGTACGGGTATCCAGCGGCTTCGGTGTCCCTACGCTGGGATGCCGATGCAATAGTAGTCGGCGGCTGGGGAGGACGAGTAGACATCTGCTGAGGCGGCGGAGTTGACGCTGACGCGGTTCCAGGCATGGATACAACATCATTGACCCTTTTAGGGGCTGGCGCTGGCGCTGGAGGGGCAGCATCGTTAAGTAAGGAGAAAATGCTGCTGACTTTCTTTTGCTCAGGCGGATGAGGCATAGCGGGCGGAGCCTGAGGCGGAGGAACAGATTGAGCGGCGGACGTGTTCGCGGGGTATTGTTCCTGCATTGAGGTCGGCACAGGGCGCTGCGTGCTCGGTACTGGCGGCCTCTCCATCGCCGGGCTAAGCTGGGGAGGCGTGCGTTGGGAGGGTACAGACTCGCTGAGCAGGTTGCGGACAGGTTGAGCTTGGAGAGGCGGTGTGTAAGACTGCGAAGTGGGGGGTGCCATGGTCCTTGGGGGATCCTGCCGTCCCATGGGCGCCGCCTCCGCCCTAGGCTGCATGGAGCGCTGTGGAGGCATAAAAGTCTGGAAGGGATCTCCGTGGTGCATTGGCTGCTCTGGCTCCTGCTTGAAGCGCATGGCCGGGCGCTCCATCGGTCGCGGTTGCTCTCTTGGCTGGAGTGGCTCCATCCTGATCTGCCGTTCCCGTCCTTCACGGATTTCGCGAACTTCGCGCACCTCTTGTTGCTGGGACAGCAAGGGCATTGGGCGATTGGCATCGGAAATCCATCCTGCTGAACGAGACATGGCCTCGCTCGCGGAGGGCATGGCGGAAGAGGGAACAGGAGCGGTCTTTTGCGAGATACGGACCGGCTGATGCTGTGCTTGAGTCGGAGCTTGCGATACCGGCATGGGCTCGCCTTCGCTCTCCGCAAATGCGAAGGTGGCGGTCGGCTGCCGAAGTGGACGAGGCACCGGAGACATAGTCTGTGTGACCGCTGGTCCGGGCCCGCTCGGTGTCTGCGGCGACGGTGCCGAAGCTGCTGCGGCAGCTGCCGATGCCGCCACCGGCGCCGAAGGTAGAGTTGCCGGTATTACTGAGGGCGACCGTTGCACAAGCGCATTGTGTGTTCCGGGTGACGCCTGGATCGGAGTAACCACCTGGAAACGGCTAAAAGGCTGATTGGCCGGCGCTGCTTCTGATTTGGCAGGCTGTGGCTCGTCGGCTTCCGCAGCAGCCAACGGCCGATGTCCTGACGAGGAAGGAACATCGTACCGCTTCCTTGGTCCTGCAGAGGGAGTGGGAGGAGCAGGTCGCCTCTCGCCCCTCTGCTTCTTGAGATCGGCCTCGGTAGCAATCTGTTCCCATTCCTGCTTGCCCTCTTTCTTTTGCCTCAGGTAGTAGTTCCTCACCTAAATACATGTTTGTCAGCTGTTCGTGTCTTTGCGTCAAACATCTGTGCAGAAGACGGGATGCACCTACCATGACTTGAGTTTTGGTTCCCATGTGGTTTGCAATTGCACTCCAGTCGGTGCCAAAGGAGCGTAGAAGATTGGGGAAGTCATTAGATTCCGAAACACTCCAGTAGCTAGAGGCTTGTTGCGGCGTGCGAATGCGCTCAGGCCCAGATGGCTGTCCGATCTCGAAGGTAGGGAGAGAAGCCGGGGGCGCTGGGGGCTCCGGACGCAGGGAAGGAGGAGCCATGACCTCGGAAATGGTTGTTGAGGCCAATGAAGGCGGTGCTCTTTCGGGACTGGCAAGAGGCGTTTGTTGAGCAGGCGCCAGCGGTGGTTGCATGCTTCCAGGGGGCACGTCGAACATAGGGTTCTGAACGCGGGCG